AGGCGCTCGAAGCGGGCGGGACTCTGCACCCGCCCCCAGGGGACATTTGGCAATGTCTGGGGATGGATGTGGTTGTCACAACGGGGAGAGGGGGTGCTGCTGGAGTGCAGAGGCCGGGGATGCTGCTAAACATCCCACCATGACAATAATGATCCAGCCCCGGAGGTCAATGCTGCGAGGTTGAAAAACCCCAGAACCTCGCTCTTTGCACCCGTGGAATGGGCACATCTCCTGAATCCTGTCAGAGGCCGTGCTGTGGGCAGAAGTAATGAATGCTGGACTGGGGGTCAGACAAGTCTGTTGGTGACCCACGCCCCAGCCCCAGCCCTGCGCCTCAGTCCGACCTCCACACTGCCGCTGGCAACAGCACAGCCCCCTTGGCGGGAGCTGGGGAAGCAAACAGCGCCCAGGGTGCAGGTGCCCGGCACAGAGGGGCGCTCCCCAGAGAGCGGCTGTCAGCGTGATGTTCCAGTTCTTAGTCAAGGGGAACGGAACGGCTGGTGGGTGTCGCTAGGCAGAGCCCCTTCAACCTGGGTCCAGCGATTGTCAGACTCAGTTCCGGTTCTGAATTTCTCTGATTTCTTTTTCTTCTCTTTTCTCTTCTTCCTTCTTCCTTCTTCCTTCTTCCTTCTTCCTTCTTCCTTCTTCCTTCTTCCTTCTTCCTTCTTCCTTCTTCCTTCTTCCTTCTTCCTTCTTCCTTCTTCCTTCTTCCTTCTTCCTTCTTCCTTCTTCCTTCTTCCTTCTTCCTTCTTCCTTCTTCCTTCTTCCTTCTTCCTTCTTCCTTCTTCCTTCTTCCTTCTTCCTTCTTCCTTCTTCCTTCTCCTCCTCCTCCTCCTTCTTCTTCTTCTTCTTCTTCTTCTTCTTCTTCTTCTTCGTTTAAGATTTTTATTGATTTTTAGAGAGAGAAGGGGAGAGGGAGAAAGAGAAAGAGAAACATAGATGTGAGAACCAAACATTCGGTGGCCCCCTGCACCCCCCTCCTCCCACCAGGGATGGAGCCTGAAACCCCAGCGTGTGCCCTGACCGGGAATGAACCTGCAGCCTTTCGGTGCGATGCCCAGCCCATTGAGACACACGGGCCAGGGCTGGATTCCTGTGATTCCTACGGCTCTGAGCCTCAGAGAGGCTGCAAAGTGAAGGAGGGGCGAATGCCAGCGCCCCCCCCCCCAAATGAGGTGCAAAGCACTTAACCTAGATATCTGGCTCAGCACTTGGTAGTTATTCTTGGTTTTGTTATTTGTATTATTTTTGGTGTTTGCCAAGCAGCCCTCAGGCTAAGCTAGTCAGGACTGCCTACTTCCACAGTGGGCCTGAGGCTGCAGGGCCCTAATCCCCTTCTCTCTGTCATCTTGCCACCCTCAGGGGGCCCCTCCCCCCTCAAGTGGGATCACAGGAGATGGGACCACAAGAGATGGGATGACAGGACCTCCTACCAGAGACAGTTCCAGGCCCTGATGGGCCCCCCTGCCTTGATGTGTAAGAGGGTAAATTAAGCCTGCTGTGCGGCTGGGGAGGGCAGTGATAGGGCTGGTGGCCTTGCCCTTCCCATCCCTGTCCACTCACAGGACTCCTCCAGTGTGGCCCTGGGAGACTTCAAGATTGGCTATGGGCCCATGTATTCTGAGCAGAAACAAGCCTACAGGCCCAGGAATCTGCCCCCAGACAGGTACAGAGGGGCCATGACCCGCCACCAAGACAGGGCAAAGGGCTCTCAGCGATGGGTAGTGTGCCACCAAAGGCTGTGGGGCCAACACTGTGCCTCTGGGGTCTCTGTTACCTGCAGACTAGGCCCACTGCTGTGCCAGATCTCCCCCATTAGCACCACATGCTTGCCCACTAGGGACCCTGCCCCCATCCCTTTCCCCATCCCTTTTCCTGGGAGTTTCCAGGGCCCAGGTCAGATGGATGCCTCCCCCACCTCCGCCCTCTTTATATGCAGGTATGACAAGGCCCAGGCCTCAGCCTGCATCCACTATTCAAGTGCTAGTCCTGGAGACGGCCTCTTCCATGACAGGACCACCAGTGCCGAGCACTTCTATGCCCGGCAGCCAGGTGAGAGCTGCGGCCGGCCCGCCCCTGGCTCCAGGGCAGCCTCCTAGAGCTGCTGAGCCCCACTCTGCCGCTGGCAGAGCCTTTTGTTCATCACAGTGACCAGACTCCGAAGTCCCACATCCTGGAAGGAAATTGGTGCCCCGGTCCAGGCAGCCTCACCACCTCCATGAATTTCTTCTATGGCCAGGTCAGTGGGAAGTCGGGGAGCAGGCAGGGCTCATCGGGGGAAAAGGGCTTCCCAGAGGAGCAAATAGCATGTGCAAAGGCCCTGAGGTAGGAGTAAGCTTGACATGTATGCAGTGCTCTCCTGAACCTATTTGCATGATCTAGGGCAGCCCCTCAACCACTCCCAGCCTCAGTGACCCTGTCTGTAAAATGAGAGAATACCAACTCTGAGTGCCGTCAAGTGGGGCCCAGAGAGGGTTGAGCTATCCAAGGTCACACAGCTCTTCCCTCCGACCGGGCCTCGGGACACGCTGGACACGGGAGCTTCCTAGTGTCCTGTGGTCCTATAGCCGCCACTGGTGACCAACGCAAACAGCCGCCACACACCTCATGAGCAATTGCAGGATCACGTGATCCTAGGGGAGTCGAAGCTGCTGGGGCAGTTCTTCCAGACCACCATGGGCACGGACTATCCCCCCGCCGGCACAGAGCGGCCAGAGAAAGCACCCAACCTGCACTTGCTGCCTAGCAACCTGCCGGAGGGCTTGGGCGGTGAGTGAGACCCACCCCACAAGGCCCGCCCCTGCCACCGCTCTGGCCTCATTCTGGTTCTACTTCCGGGAGGGCTAGATCCCACTCCATCCACCAAGATCCCAACTCCTGCCCTAGACAACCCACCCCTCGTCGTCATGACCACCCACCCCCCTCCACCATCACACCGCCCTTTCCTCAGTCAGGCTCTGGCCGGTTCCCGACTCACTAGCCTACCCTACCCTCACCCCCAACAGACATCTCAGCCCCTCCCTCCTTCCTGCCTCCTAATCAGCACTGGCCCGCTGCACCCTGAACCCCTACCCATTCTTAATCTCCTATGTCCCTGCCCTCTGGGGCCTGCCTCTCCTCCTCAGCCCCTCAGTTCAGCCACCCACACTCAAATCTCCAGAACCAGATTTATTGACCATGAACCAGAAGATGCTGAAACCACACAGAACAGCTCCGGCCTCCATGACCCAGGAGATGCTACAGCGGGTGAGGGGCCCCTCCCTTACCAGGGAACCCCCAAGTCAGTGTAGAGTTATCTCAGGATGCTTTAATGTCACCTCAGACTCAGAATTAGTGTCAGGTCCTCTCAGAGTCACTCTAGAGTCACCCCAAACTCAGGGTTATCTTGATGCTCTGTCATCCCAGCCTCAAGATCATTCCAAGCTCATCCCCAGGGTCAGCTCAGAAACATCTCTGTATCACCAGCCACAGTTACACCATAAGCTGAGGGTTATCTCAGGGCTGCCTGGAGTCACCCCAGCCACTCCCCCAGTTTCTCATTCAGCTCCTGGGGCAGCCCAAACTGGGGTCCCTTTTGCCCACCTCCCCAGAGCCCATGACCAAGTTTTGATCCTCCCAGGGTGGTGAGCCACAGGGTGGCCCAGGGGGGCCAGCCACCCTCCAGGCTGCCCTGCCAGGCTACCCACCCTGACTCCACAGTGCAAGGATAGCCACATGGAGCCCCCGCTGGGCAGACAGCGCTGCTTCTCAACCCAATACAAGGACCAGTTTACCTGCAAGTACCAGGGTCCGACAGTGCTGAGATTTGGCAACTTCCAGGAAAGCCACTTGCCACTGGGCTCCTCTGGCCAGTGCTGCTGGGGTGCGAGGGTAGACCCTCAGGCCCCCCAGGTCCCTACCTACCCGTGCCCTAGCCAGCAATAAACACCACCCGGCAACATCCGGTCCCTCTCCGTCCGTCAGACATGAAAGAGGATGCTTGGGTGAGTGGGGACTGAACAGGAAAGAATGACTCCATCAGGAGACTCTGGAGGTCGCCCCACTCTGGGCGGGGAGGCCTTGCCAGTTTGTGCAAAGACTTGGCGGACAGATTCGGTATAAAATGTTCAGGTGCCATGACAATTTATGAATGACACGGAGAGGATGGAGTTAGTATTGAACAGAGGCAGTGTGGCAAGACATTGAGAATGCAGGCTTCTGTGGCTGATGGACAAAGTCGAAATCCTGACTTCTCTATGCCCTGGATTGTAGCATTGGGCAAGTAATTTAACCCCTCTAGCCTCAGTTTGTTCACCTGTAAAATGGAGATAAATAGTAGCTCTCTCCGTGAATGTTATAAATGCGAAATGTGTGGCTGGGGTAAAGGAGGGAGAGAGCTTATCTTCTGAAGACAAAGGTGAGTAGGTGAGAAGAAGATGAAGGTGTGAGATTTCAATCATTAAAAGACTGGATAGGGCTCAGAGGGGGAATGAAGGGGTCGACACCATGTTGGTCCTGCAGTTTCCTCCATTGTGGACAGAGGCTGGGAGATTATTGGTGCACTGACTGGCTGGGTGACTAGTCAGAACTCACAAAATCCATCAGGATATGATGAGGTTCAAGGGTCTAGGTGTCCAGCCAGCAACAAGATGAAAAGGGGGGAAAGAGGAGGATGGGATGGGGCCCCTGAAGCCCATGGGTAAGCTGTTTAGCAAGCATGGAAAGGACCAGTACCTTGGACAGCACCTACCTGGCCGTCTGGGGTCTGGCAGGAACACCAAGAAGCTGGGTGGTTCAATCTGGATAAGAAGGGTCTTGGTGGCCATACCCAGGACCTGCCTCTGTAGGCTGTTGAGAATCAAAGAATGAATATGGCCCTGGCTGGTTTTGCTCAGTGGATAGAGCATTGGCCTGCGGACTGAAGGGTCCCGGGTTTGATTCCGGTAAAGGGCACATGCCCTGGTTGTGGAGGGCATGCAGGAGGCAGCCAATCAATGGTCCTCTCTCATCATTGATGTTTCTATCTCTCTTCCTCTTCCTTCCTTTCTGAAATCAATTATATATATACTAGAGGCTCGATGCACGAAAATTCGTGCAAGAGTAGGCCTTCCTTCCCCCAGCTGCTGGCACCGGCTTCCCTCTGGCACCAGGGACCCGGGCTTCCCTCCTCTGGCCGCCTGTAGGCACCCAGGACCCAGGCTGGCTTTCCTCCGGCCCTGGCTTCGTCAGGAAGGACGTCTGGAATGACGTCTGGTCTAATTAGCATATTACCCTTTTAATAATGAATATGACTCCCCGACCCTGTAGTCAGATCTTCAAAAGACCAAGGCCCTCCTGCCCTGGCTGGGTGGGTCAGTTGGTCAGAGTGCCAGCCTATACATCAAAAGGTTGAGGGTTCAATACCTGGTCAGTACATATACCTAGATTTTGGGTTTGATCCCAGATTGGGGCACATATGGGAGGCAACAGATCAATATTTCTCTGTCTCCCTTCCTCTCTAAAATCAATAAATATATCCTCGGGTGAGGATAAAAAATTAAAAAAAAAGACCAAGGCCCTCAAGCGCATGAGCCACTAAAAGCCACCCCAAGCCCAGCCAGGAGCCCTTTCCCTGTAGGCAGCAATTCTGGGAGGCTGTGTTGTCATTTCCACAGAAATGAAAGGAGAGCAGCTTCCAGAGACAAGGTGGCCCTTTGGCTGCACTCCTGGTATCCGTGTTGACCATGAGGGTCTGCTGGCCGCAGAACCCCTCTTCCGCCTGCTTCCACTGAAGATGTGCATGGCACTCTTCTGAATTACTCCATCATAAACCACAGCTGCTTTCTCGGCACTACTGACAAATGGATAAGATCATTCTTTGTTGTCAGAGGACATGTTTAGCCTCCTCCCTGACCTTTAACAGTTCCATGCCGTTAGCACACTCCCTCTCCCCGCACCAGTTGTGACAACCAAAAAGGTCTCCAGATATTGCCAAATGTCCCCTGGGGGAGAGTTGCCCTGGTTGAGGACTACTGCAATAAATTCATCGTACGACGATTCCCAGGACCAATCCGGTCCTCCTGATGGAGCTGGTCTGCTTCTTGACCAGATTACCCGATCAAAAAGGCTTTCCCTTCTTGCCTTACCTGCCAGAAACTCTGAAAGCTTGTCTTGGTGTTCAGTTCCATGCAGCTCCAGTTGCAGAATTTTTGTGTGCTCCTGCCTGGTTCTAGGAATGCCTTAAAGCAACCCAGACACCGGGTGAGAAACAATGGGTAGGACTTACAAGGAGACAGATTTCAGCAAACCTTGAAGCAATTTTTAATAATGACACTGACCAGTCCCAGGATGGGTTGCCAAGAAAGAAAAGAAACCTTACCGGAAATATTTAATCAGTGCAGAAAGACACAACATCTTGATGATTCTGGATGTACTTTATATCGATCCCTCCTTTATCCTACTCACCTTCTAAAAAAGGCGTTTCCTGCGAACGACAAAACCCAAAAAGGTTTATGAAATAAGGTGAAGAGGACGGAATATAAAGGAAAACAACTGTGTCCATGGGAAGCATCACCGAGCAGCCGAGTTCAGACCTTCCACTTACCTGCATTTCTGTCCTTCAACAAGTGCCTTCGTGCTGACCCTCGCTCCTCAGTGGTAGCTTGGGGGTGGCAATAGCTCTTCCTTCACAGAGTGGTTACAAGGGTCAAGTAAAATGTGCGAGACCCATGCTTAGGACAGGGCCCACCCCTCAGCTGCAGCTCCACGAATGGTGCCTAAATTTAATGTCTTAAGTCATTTTTGTTGCAAGTGACAAAAACCCAGCTCTAGCTCAAGTGGAAAGGGATTTTATTAACTTAGAATCAAGAAAGTCTGGAATTAGGTCGAACATCAGACATGCTGGATCCACATCAGGACTCTTCCTCACAATGTAACAACAAGCAGGTGGCAAAAACAAAACAAACAAAAAAAACACCCAAACACACACACACACACACACACACACACACACACACACACACAAAACAGGTACCACAGGTCCTTAGAATTAAAGCCCCAAAGGAAACAGGGTCACATCTCCCCCTCCCAACTCATATTGGAATTAAGGAACACTCTGATTGGCCTGCTGGAGTCACATGCACAGCGCAAACTTCACGGCTGAGATTGGACGGCCCAGCTCGCTAACCCACCCAGAGTGATTTGGTTCCCAGTCCACCCGAGGATCTCTGAGTGTGGAGCCCAACCTCGCTGGATTCTGTCTCTAGCCACAGACCTGAGCCTGCCCATCCCCTTAAGATCTGTCTTACCCCAGGTGACAGTCTGGACGGTGGAAAGACAGCTAATGGGCTCTTCCCTGGGAGGGTGACTGCTTCCTGTACAGACAGGGAGTGCTCAGTGTTTGAGAACCTCTCCACCCAGTCCTCTGATAGTCCCAACTTTACTTCCTACCTCATTACTAACTTCCTCTTTTAGTTTGGGGCAGAAAATTCAGCTCTGGCATTCTCACAAGATTGTGTAGATGCTAATCTCTGTTTACATTACAGCATCCTGATATTTTCCTCCAAAGCCCATAAGCCTCAATCTCGGAAAACACATGGGTAGAGTCCCAAGACAAAATAGCAACAATTTAATCAGCTATTTTTCTTTCACATAACAGAGATTTCATTTCCTGAGGAGGACTATTCTACAGGGATGCCATATACAGGGCAGGTTGTGCACTGCACAAATCTTGGAAGCCCTATTCCCTTTACAGTGAATATATATGTATTAGAGGCCCGGTGCACGACATTCGTGCACTGGGAGGGGGGGGGGTCCCTCTGCCCAGCCTGCGCCCTTTTGCAGTCCGGGAGCCCTCAGGGGTGTCCGACTAACAGCTTAGTCCCGCTCCCAGTCAGCCGGCTTTTGGCTGAGGGGCGCTCCCCCTGTGGGATCGCACTGACCACCAGGGGGCAGCTCCTGCATTGAATGTCTGCCCCTGGTGGTCAGTGCGTGTCATAGCGACCGGTCTTTCAGCCGTTTGGTTGATTTGCATATTACCCTTTTATTATAGGATGCCATTAGCACCAGTCGGCCAGGCTAGAGGCAGGTCACCTCTGCTCGGCCAAGTTCACATTTTATTTCCTTTAATACTCTCCCCTTTCCAGGTACTCATTTCTAAGTTAGTCAAGACTGTCAGAGATGCAAGGGACAGAAACCCAGTAGAAGTAGCTCAAAAACCCAGGAAATGTGTTGGCTCATAATAAAGAATGAGGGCTTCTGGCTTCAGGCATGGTTATCACCAAGAGCTGAACCAGTATAGCCAGAGCTGTGTCTCACCTTTACGTCCGGTGTAGATTGGCTTCAGCCTGCAGACTATCCATCCAGACACGAAGGAAGATGACTGCAGGCAGAATGAGGCTCTGTATAAAGCTCATAATCCCAGAAGAATGAGACCCTCCAAAGTCATGTCCTCATCCCAGACCTAATTATTGTGGCCTGGGGATGGGGTTCTTTGATAAGTGTAGGTCACATGGCACTGGGGTGGTTGTGTTAGATCCGGGCCCATCTGGAGAAGTGGAGGGGGACCCACAGAGGGAAAGCAAGGTGCTGGTGGAGCTACTAAGCAGACAGAAACAACAGCTGGCATTACCAGGAGTATTTGCACTGGGGTCATCCAGGAAGTGGCAGGATGAAGAACCAGCACCATAATCCAATTGCAGTCTCAGGGCTCTCAGATCTGCTGCAGGCTTTTCCACAAAGAGGTGAAAAGCAGGTCTCCCGCCACAGGCAAGCACAGGTCTAGAAGGTTCAGGAAGGAAGAGAGACAGCTGCTAGAGTCCTGATTTGCTCAAGGCTATCTTCAAGGGTAGGTGGTGTCAACATTCACCGGGCAAAGACCATCAGAAACACACCTGTGCTCAAAGCTTGTTTAGTTTGCCCCAGCGACGAAGACCACACACTGGGGAACCACGGAGCACGTCAGTAAGAGCGAGCTGGGGCAGGCGGGCATCTTATGGGATCGGGACATGTGCTGGGTAGTTTTGAGGAGAGTGGAAGAGCGTAGAAGCCATCCTCGGAGCCGTCAGGAAGCGGAGCAGATGGGTGGTGGTGATCTCAGAAGCGAGCTGTCAGCGGGGCAGGAGGGGCTGTGTGTTCATTTTTGTGGCTGGAGTGTTGTCTCTGGCTTGGCACAGACGTGGTCACAGAGTGGCCTTGTACGCTCAGTGTTTATGTTCTGTGACTGTTGTTTATGTTCCGTGAAGAGCATCGCGGCCCAGCTGCAGCCGAGCTCTTTGGTTCCCTCTCGGGGATCTTTGTCTCCAGGTAAAGCTGCCCAAGTCCTTCCCTGTGTCCACCCGGGCTTCTCCCAGAGATCATCACTCCGGGGAGAGCGAGGCTCAGGGTGACAGCAGAGCGGCCCCTGACTGGGTAGGAAGCGGGAAAATCCAGGGACAGACTCTCCAACTCCTCCTCGGGGCCTTAGGGAAACGCTGGATTAAGCAAAGATAAAGAAGTTTGTAAATTGCAGGGCTTCTCAGAGCCTTGATTATGCTTGTGTGCGTTGCCAGTCGAGAGAGACAAAATGGTGCTTTTTGAACAAAGACAGAGTTAGAGACAGAGGTAGGAGGGGGAGAGAGAGAGTGGGGTACAGAGGCAAAATGATGGAAATGGAGACGCAGAGAAAGGAATAGAGATGGACGGCGGAGACGGACAGGGACGGGGATGG